TTTAAAAAATAATCATCCACACTATAATAAATAAGGGACCAAAGTATATTCATACTAAAAATTTAATAAGGTGACTTATAAATAAAACTTAAAAAAACCTTCTCTCTTTGCCTTGCAAATAATACCAAAGGAGTATGCTTTAAACTTCTCTCATTAAGACCTCTTAAATATGACCAATAGGATTCGTGCATGAGAAAGGATGTTAGTCCCTCCCTCACAACGTGACGAATGAGAGGACAAAATCTCGTTGGAAAAAGGCAATATCTAAAACAAGCCTCCTATAGAACCTATGCGCAATTGAGGGAAAAAAAACACTTAAATAGGAAAATGAAGAGTAACTAATAATATTAGTTTGTAGGAAGAATAGCTCAGATTTGTAGGGAACAAGATCACTGTCAAAGTAAATAAAATGGGTCCAAAGATGGTTCAAAAATATTAGTGAGGATGACAATCATTCAAATTTTGGGGAGCTACATGTTAGTGTTCTCCATTATTAATGTGTCTGCCTTTGACTTTACAGAGTGAATTCCACAAAGTGGTTTCTATCGCTTTGGCCGTATGAACTAGGCAGTAGACACATTGATTGAAGGCATCCATCAATCTCTCTCACTTTTTTTTTTTATATAATTATTTGACATTTGATAGTAACAATTAATATAAATTCCAACATTATTCAAACTCAAATAAAAGGTATCTTTCTCAAAGCGAATTTTTCATTTGCGAAGTGTAAATAATAAAATAAACTTAAAAAAAAGTATTGAATCCCCAACCACTATTTCTACCCATCAAATGGTTAGTGTCAGTATTGGCCCAAGCCCATTTTGATTGGTGTGGCTTATTAATTAATTAAGTAAAAGCTTGGGTCTACGAAGGTAATATGCCCTATTTGTTTGAAAGGAAGGGGGATGGTCGGGTTGCGTACATGTTTTTTTTTTTTTTAAAAACCAGCACACGTGAATACAACTCCCACACCATGAAATTATTAACCACTAATATGTTCTTCTCTCCCTCTGCAATTCTCTCTCTCCCGCTTCCCTTAGGCTGTTTTTTTGTTGTACTATTCTGGTCCTTATTATTTTTTTATAGGAATTTCTAACATATACCAATTAGAGTATTAAATAGATGAAATCTTTTATTCTTATCCTTATAAAGAAGAATATTAAATACTAATATATATTTTTTCATCCATTCCCTCTTTCTTCACTTTGACTATAATTAATAGGAGTAGAACTGAAAATGAAGCATTAAAATTGGTACAAAAAACAAATAAAAAGAACCGACTTAGAGTGTCGCTCGTGCCCTTATGGTCATAAGATTTAATTGTATACTCATAGGGATACGATAAAGGATGAATAAAGGAATTAAGTGCGATCTGTTTAAGATTTATTATAGAGTATTAAATAAATTTGCTTGTTTGGGTGTGTAAAGGTAAATTAAGTAAAAAGTGATATTTACAAATAATTAATTATAGCTGGGCATATTTTAGAAGGCAAGATAACACTAAATACTATAGATGTAAAATAAAAAAAGGGGTAAAGTACAAATTTAGGTGTGACTATATATATATATATATATATATATATGAGTACATATAATATTTAAGAGAATCTAATCATTTTGAGATATCTCCTATTTTTCTGGATATTAATTTATATCAAAGAGGATAGTTTTTTTTATATAAGCATAATAAGATGAGATAACATAAGTTAGTTTAATTTTTATTACTCTTGAAAAGTGTATTTAAGCACTCAAGCCTAGTAGTCAAGTTGTCCACTCGTCCAATATTTCCTTTCCACAGCTGCTAGATTTGATTCCCGGTGGGACTCATCCGGTTGTGAAGTCTAATTTTGTTTTTACGAGAGTACTTGTTGGAGTACTTGGTAACTCTCTTCCTAGTGAGTTCCCCCCCCTCCCCAAAATCTCAAAATGAAAATTTAGTTAGTTGTGGATATATTGGATAATTAACTTCTATGAAAATTGTTCGGTGGGACAACTGTTGGTTTAGGAAACCTTATGGTGTAACTTAAGTGGTTTAGCCTTTATTAGATTAACAGGTTGATTTGTTAATAGTTTGAGAACTGTCGTGCTAGGAAGTAGTTGCTTAGACTGTTTGAATGGTGACTAATATTGATTAATTAATTGTTAATACGAGAGGGGGATTGTGATAGAGAAATGATATTTGTGACCACGTGGCACGGTCACTATATGACGCTCTGTAATTGACTATTTTCTTTTACATGGGTAGCATCCCCCAAGCTTATGACACTCTGATGGTTCATACTTGGGTAGCATGCCTTACTAGAGGAACCCATGGCCCCTGTGTGCTTTGCTGATTTTGGCCGGTTCCCATCACATCGGTGGGTAGCAATCAACCTATGGGTTCATGTCGACAGGAATAAATAAGAGATAAGGTTGAAACTAGTAATAAAAGAAAATGTGAAATTGCATTATTGATATAATTGTTTGTTTTGCTTTACCTTGAATTGTTATGATTATAGCTCTATTCTTGTAATAAATACACTGAACTGTTGATCTAATCATCTGCTTGAATTACGAGTTCTAGCCTTCACCTCATAGGTGGTGTTGGCAGGTAAGGCAAATAAGAATTGAGTTATTTAGACGTTTTGTTTCACTCAATTACTTTTATCACTTTTTAGGTGAGAGTAATAAAGGAGGTATAATAGGAATAGTTCTGAAGGCATGAGGCTACCCGCATCAGTAGTTAGCCTTCATTAATTGTTATACTTTGACTAACTATTAGTTGCTACCCAGGACACTTTGACTTGTTTCTGTTCATCTATTTAATTTGAGGAATTGCATTTATTATGATTTTGTTGTTGCTGAATTGGACTGTACTTGATTAATAGGCTAGAGACCATTGAACTTGCCTCTTTTTCATTTATTTGTGGATCTTAAAGAATGTGAACTAATTCATTTAATAAGTGAAATTTCTCCTTAAGGTAGCAGCCCGAGGCCCTTTTATGAATATTGATTATGGTATAACTATGTCTATCAAGTGCTTATAGTTCTTTTTATAATCATGTTAGATAGGCGGCATCCCTTCCTAACATGGTTAAGGCAGTGATAAGTAATTGCCAAAGGGGCGGTGTCCCTCTTCTACACTATGTTGAAGGGCAGCACTCCTTCCTTAGAGCTTATTTGATTGCTTACTGATAATTGATAATAGGTACCATTTTGATAATCATGATCGACTGGTGTGTAAGTTGTTTCCTTTTCTATCATGGTTCTTGTTTTGAAAAGAAAATTTCTGATTTGTTACTTTTACTATTGCTATAATAGATACTGAGATTATATGCGGAGCTAAGTTCAATGTTTTAGAGTAGAACGTTTCAAAAATCCCTTCGTACAGGTGATAAATAATAAAAACCAAAAGTAGTATACCATAGGCAAGATATCCAAAAAATGACTCTGCTCTTTTATGTGGGCTGAAGCTTACATCCTCCAATTCTAAGATACTCCCTCCGTTCCTTATTATAAGAGACATTTGATGCTTATGGCATGTTCCATATATAAGAGACACTTAAAAGTTGTCTCTAGTTTTTGTATTGATTTCCTATTTTACCCCTATTTATTTGTCTCCTACTCATACTCTCTCTCCCTCCCACTTCTCTTTCTTTTAATAATTTAATTGTTCTCTCTCATACTCTCTCCTTATTAATAGGGGTATTGTTGGAAAAAACATTATACTTTTTACACATTAATTGTCCTCAACTAATTTTAACTGTTTTTTTTATCAACGTAATTTGGTTATTTGTCTCTTATAATAAGGAACGAAGGGAGTATATACTATCTAATATAACAGTGGTATCAAAGCGATGGTTTTTCCCGTCATGTGTTTTTCTGTGTTTCATTTTTTCTGTTCATATATATATATATATATGAACATATACATTTTTGTTTGGATGAACATATGTGTATGTATACACGTTCATTGTCTTCCTTCTCGGTTACTTACTGAGGTTATAATGAAAGTATTCTGGTCACTTGTTTTCATTTTGGTTTTTGGCTGGAATTTTGTTTAATAATAATGAGTTAGGAAAACCGAGAACGAACTACAAATACACTTCTCTGTTTATCTTCATTAAACTGATGGGGTTTAGATTTCTTGAAATTGCATAAAACATAGTTTCCAGGCCAACTGAAATTTGTTAATGAGATGATAACGTCTTTATGGGTACCCAGAAACTAAAGACTACAAGTCTTTTTTTTTTTATATAAAAAAAAAACAGTTTTCAAAGCGTGAGACTCTCAAATGTCAAAACCGCGAAATTATCTGGCATTTATTCTACTTTGCAGCATATTTTTAATGCATGTTTGAATTTCCAATTACTGTGTACATATTAAACTCTCCCTCTGTCTCCCCCCATTTTGTAATTTCGACTAAGTATTGGTGTTCTTTTATTAAAGGCAGTTATATGCGAAATATTATCAAGTGCTAAACATAGACACTTTTTCTAGTAAAAATTTAAACTTTAATTCACCATGTTGTGAAGAACTAGTTCCTTTCTATTAAATCTAACTGTAGTTGGCCCCATTTTGTATCAGAGGTAGTCCATGTGAGTAACAAGAGATTCTCAGTCTCCATTGTTGAATCCGTATTTTTTTCACTGAAATTCCAAGAAAGTATCCATTATAGAGGAGTCTCACTCTCAAAACTGGAGTTGGGCCAATATCAGTGCGCGTCCAACCCTCATGCCCAATACTGATGTATGGGCGGCCTCATCAAGATATTCTTAGAAGTGAGGTAACCTATAATGAGTTTTGAATTTGTTACAAGAAACCTCGACCAATAAGAAACCTATAATCTCTTTTCATACCAAAAACCCTTAATTTCTCCGCTTCTTTATATGCACAGTAATAACTCAAGTGGAGCCCCAATAAATTGAGTAATTCTCGTAAATTTCAATAAGTAAAGTGTGAATTGGTGAAAACACGTCGGGGGAGAATCCTAGGCACTGCTGTAATCAAGCATAAGATGCTTACTTGAAGGAACATGGATTTTCAGAGCGAAAAGGACACAATATTACAATCATATCTTGAAAGAATGAACTATCTGCTCTAATCGCTCAGAATCGCTATGGAAATGAGACAAATCAGAACATACAACAGACTGAAACATCTTCCTATTGATCATAGTACGTGTTGGAGGATCCATCTCAAATATTACCTTCCTCCAAAAAAATACAGCTCAAAAACTCAACACCATTTTCCCTTCTACTTCCCCAACTCTTCCCAGTTATGAACAACCATTTGCAAAACCTGCTATGAGAGGAGTCCCTTCCGCCCATGAGCTGCTTTTACAAAAAAATTATATTACACTTGTGTGACCAAAGAATATATATATGTGCGTAGCAAACTGAGAATTTTAACCGGCCGGTGATCATTGAGGGTGCAAGATAATGCACGGCCTCTAAAATTGTTCCTATTCGTATGTGTTTCTTCATTGGCACTGATTGTTGTGTGAGCTCCAGTCATCAAGAAGATTTGAAAGAGTTTCTTCGAGCTTCTTAGCTTGTGGACCTGGCTTGAGGATATTGACATCACCCCACTGGGAGCAAGGATCCATCCACCAGGACTTACGTCCGGAGCACCATGCTCCAGGTACAGCATTATTACGCCCACGCCGAAGGATCTTTTCATCGATAAGGTCTAGCACAGGTTCATTAACTTCGAACTGCCTTGCAAAAGCAGCTCCACTTTGTGCCATTTGATTATAAACAGAGGAATTAAGGAAGTGTGGCTCCATCTTTGGAGGGTTGTCCCAGATCATGTACCGTAGGTCAGCATTGACTGTTGTGTTCTTAAATTCCGGTGCATTGCAAACAACAGAATGGAAGTAACCTTCTTGGGATAACTTAACATTAGTAAAATACATCAAAAGTGTTCTAGGTAAGTTATCCCAGCCGAAAATGCAGAACTCCATAAATGATCTACTCAGGATAACCCACGGTGAGCCTGCAAGATAAGAAAAGCATTACACATACAAACACTACCCATAATTTGTGCTGCACGAACAGAAAATGAGGAAAGAAAGTTGCCTGTGAAGAGTTTGAATGCATCAGGTGTTGGCCGCTTCTCCGTAGCTTGGAAAACTTGACTTCTTCTGGCTAAATATATACTTGGGTCAACAACAATTGGCTGAAATCTGTCACCTCTGCAAGGGTATATAACTATTCAAATATACAATCCAGAACACAAGTAAATGCAACATAATAGAGGCAAAAATTAGGAGAAATTTTCATTACTCTTTCCATCCAAGATCACCAGTGTGATCAATGAAGTTGAGGTCTCTTCTAACAGAGGAGAAAACATGGGAAAGATCTGATACAAATTAACCAGCATGCATCAGTAACTTCAAACTTTAAATAAGTGAAACATCACAATGATTATATGAAGAAAACTATCCAGGCCCTAAATGAATCATAATGAATGAAATAAGGCTGATGTGGGTGAGCTCGGTAACAGTATGCGCAGCAAATGTGCTCAACGAAAATACATTAAGCTCAATATTAATTCAAGCTAAAATTTGTCATAAAACTCAGCTCGTTAATAAATGAGCTGAACTCAATCAAATTCATTAAAGTACAACAAATACCATCTATACCAAGTACTGACACAAAAATTGAGTGATAAAATTGTTGCTCTTATCATCATGTACATCTGTGTGTGACTGTGTACAATGAAATATTCAAAGAAAATACATATCACAATTTGAAGGCCCTTATATATGCACAAATATCATTATTAAATAAATGGGACCATGATTGTCTTAGCCGTGAGAAAATTTATCTCATTCTCATGAAGACCTTACTCTCGGAATGAATCTCATCTCCCCCCCCCCCAAAAAAAAAAAAGTCTTATGATAGTATGATGAGTGAAGGTGGTTTGGGTATATCTAAACAAATTCTAAAATGTTTTAGAAGGAAAAGATGTTGACGAGAAGCGAGAACAGAGAGAGGCCAAGACATCCTCACCAAACCAGAAAAAATAAATGAAAAAGTCTCATACTCATAACTTTCCAACCTCTTTAAAGATCCACAAGGAAGCACACCCACCCCACCACCCTCAAAGGGGAAAAAATTGATTTGAAAATGTTGGTAGCACTATGATAGAGTTGGTAGTTATACATACTCATAGGAGTATTTAGGCCGCTTCTCCCCAGTGGAAAACCAACCTCGGCTGCTTCGTTGGATTCAATTAATAAACACAACTGCAACGGTTTTCTAAACATGATCATTGCACACAAGTAGGTGCAGTCAACTTTGGACTGATGTGCGGTACCAAGTATCGCAATTTACATAGCTAGTAGATTACAGTACAAATGGACTAAAAATGCATAAGATTCCCCAAATTCTTCCACTCGTAACAAGAACCAGGCTTCAACAACCTTTTTAGTTCAGTGATCCCTTGTATGGAGGAAAGAGCTGGGAGAATCTCTAAGCAGGCATCCAGTTTTGATAATATCAGAATATCAATAAGAATAATGTCGTTTCTTTTGCTCCTAAGAACACATTCCTTCATACTTGGACTTCGGATAGTTAATCCGTTGGAAAAACCAGATGCTTCTTTTCAGCGATTCTCATGACATAGCCCAAAAACATGGGCAGCTCCCTCTATGAAAGATCCATTCCAGACTCAAGAAGAAACACACTCGTTTCGTTCATAACCAAGGGTTGGACCATAATCCAACACTATTTCTAAGCCTAATCAAACAGAATTGCCTCAAAGGGTTCAGTCCATACTTACCATTCAGCTTAACCTTCACTTTAAGTTAGGTCTATATGATGAAAATGGCAAAAAACTCAACGTGCCATTACGGATTAGAATTTATATATATCTTGACAGGTATCTTCAATTATATACCACAGAACATGATGCACTGTTTTTCTCAATCTAATCCTCTCAGGTATCAAAGTTTAATTTTACAATAGGTAACAGATAGTAATGATCACTTCAAGCCCTATTACCATTCTCTACGATTGAGTCTACAACAGAGAAGGGTTTCGTCCACAGTTGTGCACAGGTATGACATAATCAGTTAACAAGATTAATCAGGATATTATCTCAATGCTTCCATGTTCATACGAAGATCTTGGCTGATACTTCTTATTTTAGTTATATACTTGTGCACCTATAAAGAACAAACATCTTCAATAGTTCTAAAAATAAAGGCTAAAAACATTTAAAACACCACTAAACTGAGTCAGTTACAGATAACCCCTTATCATTTGAAAGTTTAAAATTAAACCTCCTTGAGCTGTTATATTTTAACCACAGCACAGACTCGCTACTGTTAGTTTTGGTTACCTTAGTAACGGAAATTGCCATGCCAGATTATTGAAAGCCATATGGCATCGGACATGGAAAAAATTAATATTTTTAAATGGTTTGAACAAAGGGTCAAAATCTTGTTTAACCATTTATGATCTTCTGATTGTACCAGCAGCCTGGGTAGTCTTCAGCAAAATACAAACACAAATCAAGCAGCTCTTCCAATTGTTCTTAGCATATTTTAATCCTTTCTAACCTGTGAAGACCAAAGCGAAATGCATTTTGCAGGTATCACACCCACGAATACCAAACCTAAAATTTCCCACTAACCTTGCTGAAGGAACAAGACAGTTAAACAAGTCAAGTGGCCTTCCGCCCCCCCCTACATCAGGCTAACTATAGACCCCCCCCCTATACATCAGGCTAACTATAGATCCCCCCCCCCCACCAAAAGAAAAAAAAAAATCAGCAGCAACACTTAAAATTTCAGGTTTCAGCGCATGGTGGAAATCTGTGCAGGCAAAATCCAAGTCATAAGCAATTGTGGGTTGTATCTACTTGTTCTTCTTGCACAACAACTTTAGTTTCAGTCGTTAATTGAAAAATTGATCTATGTACAAGGAGAATTATTCTGGGTATGCTTCTTCGTGAGGAAAGTATTTTTGTAGGTTTCATTTCATTTGTTAAGGAATTTTAGCAAGTGGTATTGTTTTTCAAGAAGAAAAACAAGCAAGGATGATTCCACTTTTGCTATCAGTTCTATTTGTAGAGTGTGATGTGACTTTTCGTTTGAAATTGAAAATGGGGAAGGGTGCTGCTACTGCAAAACCGACGATGAATGGGGAAAAAAAAAATAAAATCTTGAGCCTCCTTGACGGTGTGTCAAAAGATTCTTATTTTTATTCCATATTAAATGCCATGGGCTCTTCATTAATCCGACATGACAATATCTGTTATCAAGACAACAGAAAATAACAGCAAAGGGTCTATGGTTAAAATAAAGAAGCTCAAGGACATTAATTTTAAACTTTCAAATGTGAGAGGGTAATCGCAGCTAACTCTCAAGAGGTTTGTACATTGCAGTCAGCAAAACATGACATATATATATAACTAATTAACAAGACCATTCAAGATATTGTCTAAATAGTTCCTTCCTTCTATGACGATAAACACTTCTTTTCTCTTCTATTCCCATCGGCTTCTCTAACTATCAAAATTGCAAGATCCCAGGCTGCAGGCTAGAATATTGTGGAGAAAACAAGAATAACATTAGACTACCAAAAAAAACAAAAAAAAAGAAGAGGCACGGAATGGAGAAACTCAATCTCAACTTGGAACTAGAATTAGGACCCTAAGAAATATAAATTAAGACATCTAATATTACTAGAATAGAATGGTACAATTCTCTTAGGAAAATTAAAAAAAAGAGACTCAGCGGTTACGAGAACATTTTTCCTGAAACTTGGAAAAGCCAAAAACCAAATGAGAAGACAGGCATCTGTAACCAAACTCTTATGCATTGATGCTAAATCTAACATTACTTAAACAGAATGGTACAATTTCCTTAGCAAAATCCAAAAAGAAACTCAGCAGCTATGAGAATGTTTTCCCCGAAACTTGGAAAAAGCCAAAAACCAAATGAGAACACAGGCGTCTGTGACCAGGCTCTTCTGCATTGATGCTAAATCTAGAGAAACTAAGTTTTCATTTAATACGATATTCTAAGGTCCGAAAGAGCTGAACCTATATCAAAATTCAGTGAATCTAGGAATAAAAACGAGGTACAGAGAACAAATCAAGAAAGAAAAGAAAAGGAAAAAAAAAAAAAAAAACAAGCACAGATTACCGAATCAGCATACCATCCTGGGTGATGAGGGGATAATCACGAGCACTCAAAGTGATGAACCAGTTCCACCCACGATCCAATTTCAACATAACCGCCGCAGCTCGCAGGGTAATAGCAATATTGGTGGAGCCCAAGTAGGTAGCCCAATCAGACTTCCCCACCACATCTACGTTCCCAAAAGCGCGAATCGCAGGGACTGACCTAACTGACGCAATCAACCCGCGCCTTTCTTCATCCTTCGCATCCCGCCCCAAATGCAGAAGATACCGATTCCTTGGGTGATAAACTGCCAGCAACAACCTGAAGATCCTGTCTTTATCTTGGTGACCACCTGAAATGAAGTAAGCAAAAGCCGGGGGGTAGTGAGCACCGTGCTGAACCAGAGAAGGAAACGGCTTAGCGGAGCTGAAGGTGGATATAGAAGAGCGCAACAGTAAGATGAGGGAGAGAAATGCCGCCGTAAACAGCGTGAAAAGCCATTTCTTCTCAGCTCCCATTATAGTAATAGTAGTAACATTAACAACAACAATGACCCTGGTTTTTGAAGATGTTGATGGGCATATGGCTTCTTCTGAAATCTTCAGAACTGGGTTCGCATAAAACTTAGGTTCCGAGATTGTTTTGGTAAGCGGGTCATTGAAGATTTTGCTTGTGCCCTTTCAAACTTTGAAAATTAGAAAACAAACATCAATGAGGGGGGCCAAAAGGAAATAATTAATTATCGGAGACTGGAAAACCCAACAAAATTTCCCCTTCGAATATCTGTTTCACACTATCTCTGTGCTCAAATCTTTAGAAAACTGTGATGTGATGTGGGGGGTGGGGGCTAGGGTTTTCAACAGTGGAGATTTGTTGCGGGGGGTTACGGAAGAAGATGGAGATCACGGACAGAAGCACTCTCTCTTTCTCTTTTAAGAGAAAACATGAATGGTTTCATGATTTGAATCGTCCTTTCTGTTAATTAATTCAAAAATTGATTGATTGAGGTAAGAATTCTTCATGTTTAATTTTTTTAAAAAAATAGCAAAAGAAAATTTCAGCAATGAAAATAAGGAACAGTGAATCAGTATATACTTTCCGTGCGACTGAGTCATGAATCGGGCTGCTACTCTCCCACGCGCCATGATGGCACGTAGAAACACCTACCTAATGCCTGCTCTCGGCTGCGTTTTGGAGATTTGGCCCCACGTTTGGTATCCATAGATGGAAGAGTGCTCTGCACGCTCCTTTGTAGAGCGTGGGATGACGTAGATCGTTTGCGAGGCAAATTTTTTTTTATTGGCCAAGAGAGGCTATTTTTTTGGATTGAAAAAGGCTATATTTTTTTTTTTTATGGAATCTTTCCCGGTCCTCACAAAAATAAATAAATAAATATATTTATATTGTCTTCGTTGGCAATATTTGTATATTGTCTAATTGTCATGTTCTTCTTCATTATCTCCTTCTATTATTTTTTTGAGGTCAAAATTGAAAAATAAACAGATAAATATATATATTTGACGCTTAAGGGTAATAATAAATAAAAAGAATCATAGAATATTTGACGGCGGATGAAAATTGTGGGAAGCCACGAACAGGAACACGGGGTAGATAAGATCAAAAGAATAAGAGATAAAGAGAGACGTGTTGGGATGAGCAAAACATTAAGGGTGTGTTTGGTTGGAGGGGAGGGGAGGGAAAATGAGTCTATCTCCTCATTTGGTTAAAAATTTTGGAGGGGAGGGGAGCTAAATGTCCCCTCCTCTCCCCTCCCCCATTTTGGCTCCCTTCCAAATTGAGGGTTTTTGGAGGGGAGCCAAAATTTTGGACCATTATGTCCTTATGGTTTTTTTAATATTCTACTTCTACCCATAAAATATATTATTATAATATTTATTTCAAATAAAAAATATATTATCCTAAGTAAAAAAATAAAAAATATATACATTATTATATTTAAAAATATATTATAAAAATTATTTAAATAAAAAATTATAATATTATAAAATTAATTGTTTTTTATAAATATATTATTTATTAAATATATTTTAAAGCTGGAAAAAAAGATAGTCTAAAGAAAATAAAATTTCATTTTCTTAGAGCATATAAAATTTGTTAATTTGATTATTTTAAATATATTATTATATTAATTAGAATGAAAAATTACTATACCAATTTTTTAATACACATATTAACATGATAAGACTGAATTTTGATTAAATTATATAATTTAAATTAAGATGTAAATTAATTTATATAATATATCAATAAAAAACATAAACTAATATGTAAGGGTAAAATGGTAAATTGATTATTACTATCCCTCCCTTCCCCTCCTTGAACCAAACAAGGGATCATTAAATACCCTCCCCTCCCATCCTTTTTAATTAAACCAAACAAGGTGAGGATGAAACCTCCCCTCCCCTCCCTTACCCCTCCCTCCTCTCCCTCTCCTTCCCTCCCCTCAAACCAAACAGGCCCTAAAATTTATTCTAAAATTTTTATCTTTTTTTTTTAAATTTATTTACGAAGTTAAAAATCGTAAAAATTTTATTTTTTATCATTAAAATAGTTATATTTTTTAACATTTTCAGCCATAAGAGATACCATTGATATGATTTTAAATTTTTTTTAGCAGATTTACATTCACAAAAATTTCTATTTCCTAACCCTTTTACATAAAACTTTTGAGACACGTTAGTTAACCAAATACAACTTAATCTTTATAATTTGAATTTGATTAAATTTTAGTTACTCAATTTTAATCATTTAACATGTTAGTCCTAATATTTTAAAAACTAAAATCACAAGAACTAAAGTTATTTTTTAAAAGAAAACCTAGAGGTTAATATCATAAATAGTTTAACTACAAGTTGTAATAAGTCAAAGTTTGTGAATTGAGTGACAATCAAATCAAAATTACAAAAACTGCCAGGAGTAGTAGTTGGGTAAGGGACCGTTGGGAGTTGAATGTAAGATGACCACATGGCAATCTTTGAAGGTTGACTTATTGATCTCGTATTAACTAAGACTGTTGTATTAGTAGAATGATGAAGACTAATAATATTTATGCGAAATTAAAGTTATGATTTATTATCATATTTACAATAATTTTTCTATTTTATGTTTTACTGATACATTATTCTTTATGACGAAAAGTATATTAGTAAGATGTAATTGTCATTTATGTTTTGATGACTTTCATGAACCGAGACTACTCAATTCAAAGTCAAACATTAATTTTTTCCTGAATACATTAAAGATGTCTTAATCCAATAATGTACAAATAACATTTTTCAATATCTGATTTTATCTTGAAAATGAATCAGTTTCCTTTATCAATTTGATGACTCTAGGAGGCTGGGACGTTCATGTTGTAGCCTTGCATTAATTTTTTCCCTAAAAAAAAAAGAAAAAATCCTAATTAAATCTAACTGAAATATTACGATTCAGATTCGTGTCTAAATTCTTAGCAAATTCCTAATCAGGCTAAGAGGTTTAGTAAGAAATTTTTAAATGTCGTGACAAGATCAAAATACCCCTTTGTAGTTAAAAATGAAAATTAGAATTAGTATGCTTAATATTGATTTTAATTATTTTAGTTGTATTTAATTGAAATTTTTCTCTATAAAAAAAAAACAATTCATAAGCCCCGGTGTGATTTGCGAATTCATAAAGTTAATCTTGACAAACGCCCATGAATTCCTCAAATCTTTAATCTTTACATATAGAGTAAGTATTTTTTAAGTGCTTTTCAGTGGGGAAAAAACTTTGCCTTGACTATAGTAAGCTCTGACAGTTAACTCATCAATATTTTCATTAATCAAGTCACTATAGTGATTTTAATGAACTTTTCTAAGGAAAAAAAAATCACCTATATAGTGAAACTTATCTCACAATTCGAATAAAAACAAGGTACCCAGTATAGGTTTACACATAATTTTTTACATTTATTACAAAATTAATAGGTCAGACTATCCTTGAATAGTCTAAGTTGATGATATTCATTGATATTTTAACCTGAAAAACAAACAAAATTGATCTATCTTCAGGATAAATATGTATTTATCAATCTAGTAAAGTTGCCTCGCTGCGTCATGACTAGTTTTTAGTTAAGTTAATCAATTGATACAATGTTCAGATAATAAAGTTGCATGCAAAAATTTTTTAACCATGATAGATATCTTCATATATTGATTTAACTCTTTTTGATTGATTTTTCTTGTGATTCAAATTTTTTTTATAACAATGATAGCATTTTTAATTGTTTTACAAAGTTTCTTTTCTAACATGATTAAGTTTTAAGTATTGATTTCTATAAATCTATATGCATTGGATAATGTGTTCATAAGTTCTTATAAACTTAAATCCAAGATTAGTTAAGTTGCACAAATTAACCTGAAAATTGGTTGAATGCAACCCCAGCCCAAGGTTCCTATTTCAAGTAATGTTGTTCTCACAAAGAATGTTCCCATCATCCTTACTTTGAGTCAATGTTGTGTCAACCAAATTGCATGTTTAATCTTGCTATTACTCATAATGCAATTGAAGTTAAGTCGTTCCACCTAGACTCAAATGCTTCATATAAAAGTATGTTCTTAATATATTCCGACTCAATTTCAATCACTGTTATCTCGAGTCCTATGTCACTTCTTTTGGAGTATACTCACTCAAGCTTGAGTCCAGTACATATAATTAGAACTTATCCTTAAGTAATCTTGAGTTGTTCAATTCGATAGCAGGAGTATGTGCTGTAATTGTCATATCATGTGCCATAATGCATTCTAAAACACATTTAGCAGGTACATAAAACAATGATTTAAGTTATATCGGCTAATATGGATGGTAGTTAACATGTCAGAACAGTGATCTACAAAAAAATACTCCCTCCTATTCAAAACATAAGCTAATATTTGTTAAGGGGTTTGGTTTTTTTTTTTTTTTTTAAGATAACATTTCAAATTTGTCTCACTATTTAATGAATATTTTCTAATTGTACCCCTAACATATGTATTTAATTTTTTTTTGTTATTGATGGCATTAATTACAGAAAGTGACTGGTTTACGAGGTATGGAAAGAGAGAAAGGTGTTTTAAACAAAGTGAATAGAGAAGAGAAGCTTCAGTGGATGTTTTTCAACCCACCTTGTTTTTTAAATTACATTGTGGTCGACTTTATTTTCCTCTACTAATTCAATTTATTTATGATACTCTTTCTCTCATTCTTTGCCCCAATATATTCTCTTTCCTCTTTTTTTATTTATTATTTTTTTACTTATTCTCTCATTAATAAGGATGTATTTGAAAATATATATACCTTACACATTTATTGTTTTAAACTGCTTTTATTTCATTTCTTGATAAATATAAATGAGCTATCTTTAGCTTATATTTTCAACCAGAGGGAGTATTAGGAGGATGCAGTTTTATAATAGGCAAAAGTTTGAGGTTCAATGGTCATCACCAACCATTATTATCCATAGACGGGAGGGATTTCAATCAAGAAAACTAATTGAAATTCTCAAACCCACCTTGAAACGCTTCTGCAATCGTCTCCGAGCTTCATTTTACAAATGTTCTTGTTATGCATTGAAGTGCTGTGTACTCACTAGAGAAGAAAAGGGAGTCCTGACATTGCGCTTAAGTGTTATTTATCACTTATTTGAAAGAAGAAATAAGTTTGGCTTTATATTTATTATAATCATTTGATTGTAATCTTACCTGAAAGTAAGAGAGAGTGATTGTCAAATGCCCATTGAAACCTAAAGATTATAAAGGTTCTCAAGCACGTGAGTAAACTTGACGGAGTTGATAGGTTGTCGAGTACCTGATTAAATTTGAGGGAATTGTATAGTTCTCAAATATTCATGAAACTTCTTGAGCGATTATATTGAAGTGCAAAGAACCCGAACTGAAAAAATATGAAAGATAACCGCTGAAAATAAATTATAGTTAA